TTCTGTAACTTTATGGAATGAGTTCAGATAAAATTTAAACAGCATTACAGTATCCCTTCATCCTTGGGAATGCTATTCTGGAATTTTCTCTATATTTTCTTTTACTTTGATCCAACAGCAAGTGGTTCACCCCAAGGCTAAGTGAATATATTAGAGTTTATTTTCCAGTCCTTTTGAATGAAGGGACTCCCATGACCTTTTTTTCAGAAAAATCCTGTGTTGAGGCTACTAATTTTTAATTATATACTCTGAATGTTTTTATTTCATTTCATTCCATTGTCTTATCTTAGTCAAAGGTACAGGGAGGTAGCCTGGAAATTAAATGTCCCCATCAAGTTAGCTAAAATCTGGTGGCCTAAACCAAACCCTGTTTCTCACTTCTTTTCTTTTTTAAGGTGTCCCACAGGTTAAACTGCTTTGTGGAAGTGACATACTGGAATCTTTCGGGGTCCCCAATCTGTGGAAGTTGGAGGACATCACTGAAATTGTGGAAAATCATGGCCTTGTATGCATCAGCAGGGCTGGAAACAGCGTTCAGAAATTCATCTATGAATCTGATATTCTGTGGAGACATAAGAATAACATACACCTTGTGGAAGAGTGGATCACAAATGACATTTCCTCCACCAAGATTAGGAGAGCGCTGCGGAGGGGCCAGAGCATTCGTTACCTAGTGCCTGATGCAGTCCAGGCATACATAGAAAAACATAATCTGTATAGTCCAGAAAGTGAAGACAGGAATGCTGGGCTTGTCCTGGCTCCCTTACAGAAATATGCAAGTGATTCCAAGAACTAACAGGCACTATGCAGCTAACTTACTTTCTGCTGTGAAAAAAGCTACAGTTAGTACAGGAAAATGTGGTTTGGGGGATTGGTTTTTTGTTTGTTGCTTTGTATTGTTTTTTTTTTTTTTTTAAGTAAATAGTGGGCTAATTCTGTGGCTTTAGTACATACGTAGTTGCTGTTGAGGTTTGGTGCACTCAGTAATTTGACCTACACAATCTTTTTTAAATCCACTTATAAGATTTTCACGTTTGAACAGTTTGTCACAGTTCAGTGAACTAAGTATAAGAATTCACACTTGCATATGAGAATTACAAAAAAAAAAAAAGAAAATGTTCCAAGTGGTTTTAACTCAGACTGCTCTGACTGCTATTTATTAAATACTAACACAAATATTTTTAATAACTTATGGTGTCTTAACAGACACATTTAATTTCAAAATGTACTACTTATGGATGGTAAAACTAGACACATCATTTGTTTAAAAACTGCCAACATGCGGTACTCCTCAAGTAAATTATTTAGCTCTATCCTGGAAGGGAAAATATTTCACTCCTGGCTGAAGTGGTGCTAAATATACCGTGCTGTGAGCTGCCTGCCTTTCAAACATCCAGCCTGTTTGCTGTCGTGCAGTTTGCTCACAGAAACGCCTCGTGCTTTACTTCTCCACTCACGTTTCCAGAGCTGTGCATTAAGCTCAGCTCTGTTTCTCGTGGAAGGACAGACCTACTTCACACCTGCTTTGGAGCCAAACCTATATAGCCAGAATTGTTTTCTGTGGCTGGAGTTGAGAAGAAATGACAGGCTATTAAGATTGTACATAAATGGGAAGTTTTTCTTTGCTAGAAATCTGGTTTTGAATCTAACAGTATATTGTCTATAGTATGTGATTATAAACTAGAGAGCCACTGTGAATGTCATGGTGATAAATTCTACCTCCCTTTATTTGCCATCATCCCATTTTTGTTTGGATTGTGTGCCTCATTAAAAATATAAAGGTTTCCAAGATGCTACCTAACGGGTCAACAGCTCTTTCATACAATCTCCACAAGATGACTCTGTTCCCATTTTTCAGATCAGCCAATCCAGCAGAATGTGCAGGACTCTCACGACAGGAAGCCTAGAGACTGTTGAGCAAGTCTAAAACCAGGATCATAACGATGTCATCCTCCTCCCCTGGGCAGGGGATCCCCAAAGAGCTGAGGCAGAGGTCTAGGCCTCTCCAGGAGCTTTGGGAGGGTCTGGAAGCCAGAAGCCAAACACAGAACGTCATGGGTGGCCTTTATACGTGCAACACTTGTATAAAACCCACCAGGGGAGTCAAGACACTATTGGGAAAACCTGTAACCCACAGTGGAGCTAGCATTTATTGCAACTTGTAATAAAATCAAGTCAAAACTTCAAAGTGCATTGTGCACTGTGACAGAGAGTAGCGTCAAGGATTCTTAGTTTTTTTCCTTGGGAGTTCCTACATCAAACGTGCTCAGTCTGCCATTTCTGCCCCTAGGGCTCACACAAGCTTACCCCATCCTTTGATAATGAGCCTGGGTTCATTTACCATCAACAGTAATAAAGGTACTGAAGGATAAATTATGCCCCCCATGACACCTCAGCAGTCAAACTGCCATAACTGATGGAATATAACTATCATTGATGGTGTGCAGGGAAGGACAAGATCTGCTTCCCTCTTCTGATCGCTGTCTTTATGACTGACAAGAATAGATAGCAAAGAAGATTTATTTTCAGCACTCAAGTCAAACGGTGTTCTTCTAAATAAACAGAGCAGATCTCTCTAATGAGAAAGTACCCTATTTATGTGGTCACTTTTCAGAGTAAAACTGCACTTTAATCTAGTTTTATTCTTCTAAGTAATGATGCTGGTGTGTGTTGGTGCTCTTGTGTAATTCTAGGGAAAAAGCAAATTCAGTAGGATGTTTTATAAAGTTTTGGTCTTCAATCGGTTATATTTCACTGGGTTTTAATGTAGTTATGTGTGATGGGTTTTCAATAAAACAAATTGCATGTAATATGCTAATTTTAGTCATCTTGTTATTAACCAGATCTGATGACTGCATGATTTTTAAGTAGGCAGAATGATGTCAGTACAGTTTTGTCTACACAAAACCGAACATTGTTCAAAAATTACCTTGATTGCTGAATGTGGATTTTTTGTTTTACTAGTGGGATCCAGAAACCTGGCTGTTACAACACTGGAAGCAATGGCACACTGACAATCTACTGTTCCAATCAGTTATAAATACTAGCATCACAGTCAGTGATGTGGCATTTTCAAAAATGTTAACACAACTACAACTTTCAAGAGTGGACTAGATCTAAAAGAGAATCTATATACTTGAAAATGTAAGGTTTGTGAATAATGCAGTTCACTAAACTTCTGTATAAAGGAGTTATAATGCATTCACAGATGGGCTACAAACAAAAATTAAGGGTTTGGGTTTTTTTTACATCACCACCTTTGGTTCCGTTCTATTAAGAGAACATTGGGTCCTTACCCCATGTGTGGAATTCAGACTGAAAGTAATTTATAAATACTGCAACAGCAGCAGAAACCACTTTATCTACTGCTGTAATGAGGCCACATCCTTAATGGAATGTGTTAGATGCTCAATGCTGTACAGCAATTAAGATGGAAATGGAAAAAAAAAATTCTTTCCACAAAAAGAAAATCAAGAATTTATAGAGGAGAAAGAAATGAACCATTGTAGGATGTGGCCAGGGCACTTGGCAGTTCTTACAAAAAGTTCCACAGGCAAATCTTTGGCTGAGCCTGAAATAGTAACACTAGTACTCTATAAATCTTTGTCTGAGATCATGTAGTGCTGTACAGCAAGAAGCACCACATCACAGGCCATCTGCACTATCTTAGCTTTCAGTTAAAATGTTATATCCAAGACTTTACACAGGACTTATTGAAGTACTGACTTCTCCTTACTTGGAAGAGTCAGCAGTCTTGCAACAGTGCTTTACTACCAGAACCTTGTAGTAACAAATTGTGGGTGAAAAGTTACTATCTGAGTCCAGGGGAAATATTAATTGGCTTTTCTCTGTGCCATTCCTAGTTTAGTACAGGTTAGAGAACAATATCCATGTGCACACAGGAAACAAGCTTTGACGTCCTAACTTCCTACTCTCATGATTCTGAGTCATATGGGTCAAACTGTCAGCTCCAAAAATGTAGCTAAAGTTCAGGGAAACTTAATTTTCTCTGCAAAATACTATCATTTTATTCAACCTAACCCAAATCAGTAAACAGATGACTATAGTAGCTATAGGTGGGTTTCCTCATTCAAGATTTGGAATAACAAATTCCCTTTTTACTGTGATAGCAACACAGTTAAGATTTCCCTTGCTCATCGGTTTTGGGTTTTTCAGGTATTCATCCTCTTTCCCACCTAGGAAAACTGTTAATTCAGAGCTGCAGAACCAGGAACAGAGCTCAGGCCTCTGGATCTGCTGTCTCATGCCTTACTGCTACACAAAAACTCTGTCTGGCAAGGCATCTGAGAAAACAAAGAGTTTTGTATATGTACGTTAATTTAACTAGGAAACAATTTACAGCATTTAAGAAACTAGAACACAGATCTGTGAACTGTGGCACAGAAGAGCTGTGTGGAGAGTCACATCAGAGAATAACATGTACCAACAAGATTTGTCTTTCACTTTTCTGTTAAAACTCCTGAACAATGATGCTGCTTACTGTTCAATCCAGACATAAACCAGCTAGATAGAATATTTATATGTATTATGGTGTCCTAGGTACAGTTTTAAAATTTGCTGATATAAAACCACCGACAGTTTAACAGTCAATCCCTGTGTTAGGGGTTACATAGCCAGAATTTACAGTGGGTAGCTGACCTTTTCAACAAATATGTACATTTCAGACCACAAAGCCACAGATGTAATGTACACGCAGGGAATTTTAAAAATGGCAAAATCTGTCCCTGATTCCCTTTCAAGTATATAAGACAGACATGAACAGTTTAAACCAGTTTTTGGGTTGCATTGTGACACTTGGGCTATTAACATTTGCTCCATACAGATTTCAGAAACTGTGAACTTTTCCCCTCACTGCAGCTGAAGCTGATACACAGATACCCTCTCACCTATTGGCTCAGCAACAGCACCCTTCCCCTCCATCAGAGGGCTCTGGGTCTCATCCCACCCACAGTCTTCCTTATATAAGGCCTGGTGGAAAACTACTACTTCATTTTTGCTCTTTTAGTTAGCTGGTTGGCTCTATCTTCCTTCTACAGTCTGGCCATGCCTGTGGATTTCAGTGGAACCTGGAACCTTATCAGCAGTGACAACTTTGAAGGTTATATGGTGGCCTTAGGTAGGTGAAAATATCTGATTATATTTTTCCCCCATAAAGGTCCTTCTGAATTTTAAGAGTCTGAGTTCTTCTAAAACCTAGATATTAATGAAGTTTTTTCCTCTGAAAAACAAATAAATTACCTTTGTTTATGTTTTAAAGTTGACAGCATTAATTATACTTTTACCTGTCACCCAAATGTCATTGCAGCTTTCAGGAATTTCTCAGCCTAATACTTGTTAAAATTATAAATTTTATATAGCTTTCATCAGAGATAGGGAAGAGTTTGCCCTGTCCACTCAATTTCTGTTGCTTTTGAGCACAAACTTACAGAACCTACGTCTAGGGTTGGCTAAATGTCAGCCTAACCCTAACAAAAAAAGTGCTTGGCTATTTGCCTGTTCCAGGTAGTTTTTTTAGCTTCATGTCAAGCAGCTTACAAATTCCTCTCATTATTGTAACTTGTTGGTAAGTCTAACTGTTCCTCTTCTGGAGTGCTTGAAGCTAACCTCTTACCTTGCTGAAATCTCTTCTAGAGAGAGATTAATGGTGCCTTAATGGGGAGCTAAGAAAGTTTTCAGTATTTCATTAGCTTTCTTGTGCAAAGCTCATTACAGACTGTGACAGCAGGCAACCTTCTGTGCTGCTTTCTCTTCTCCCTCCCTCTCCCACAGCTTTCTGCCTTTTTGGCTTGTGACAACTGATGAGCAGCAGTGTCCCTTGTTGGCTATTGCAGACACAGCTCGAGTAGCATCAGTTCTCTGGCTGGATATATGCTGTGTGACCTACTTAAATTGTCTAGTTAGTATCTTTAACATAGTGAATGAATTATTCTCTGTTTCAAATCCTGCTGTGTTATTAATCAGAAAAATAAGAAAAGATGAGGATAATGAGAATTTATTCCTCATTTTAAGTGATATACTCTTAAAGTGTTAATGTCCTTAAATGGAATAGCAATTCTGTCTGTTCCTTGATAATAAATATTGTCCAGCTAAGTAAAGGGCTTTTTGAAATTAAATAACTACCAATCTTATGAAAAAAAACCCAATATGTTTTCAGCATGTACTTGGGGGAACTTACTTAAAAGTAAAGACAAAGAATCCTGTTGATGACTTACAACTTATCTTTAATTATTCCTACCTGCTTCTCAGTATACTGAACAAAACAAGGACTGAAATCAATATTGTACAAGTATAATGAAAAGCTTTTCTGCCAGGATAAGTAGAGTGAGGAAGCTAATATCCCACCAGCTGAGTAACTAGAGGGTTCTGGATGAGGATACGGTTATTCTAAGCTTAGACCTTCCTTCCATTTAATACCTACCTCTGCAGAATAGATCTGTAAAAAGTTTGCATTTATATATTTTTATAACCATCTTAAGGCTTAGTGGGTGTGGTTAGTACTAAATTCAAACCCCTCTGTGCTAAAATAAACTGGCAATCCTGTAAAAACGTGACTGACAGATTCTGGCACTTCTGCAAGTGCATACAGTGAAGAAGTCCCACTTCAGACACAGACTAAGGAGCCATATGTTCAACACGTGGGCACTGAACATAGCCTGTCAGGGGGGTCAAACCCCAGCCTGCACGAAGTGAGAAACTTCCAGTGTTCCTATAAAAAGGCAGTTTTAACCTGGGTGGTGAGGACAGCTACAGTAATTAATACACATCACCTCATTTTACCTGTCTACCCTCTGAAAACTAACTGACCATGCTATTGGGATGCCATGAAAGTCTGTTGCTTGCCAAATAAATCACCTGTTCCTCTAAAAAATCCCAAACATTCACTAAAGGAATTGAAAAAACTCTGGAAGCACTGCTCAGTATTACCAAGAACATCAGGGTACTGTTTAAGTGACTGATCATTACAGATAAGTAGGAAATCTTCTGACAAGTGTGAAGTTTTCTAGTTACACTTTTAAAAGTGTTAATAGCAAGTGACATATCATGAAAACAAGCCTGAGTAATTTAGGATGGCCCTTCATTTTACTCTTTTTTAAGGTATAGAGTGCAAAGATTTATTGATAATTCACATAATGCCTTTCCTCTGACACAGGATAAGAATAGGCATTAACTATTCCCTCTCTTAAAGCAGAGGGCAATCCTCATGCCAAGCTTGGGATGTCTGTGTGTGGGAAATCTACACTCCCTGACTCATAAAAGGACTTTTCAGACCCAAAGTAATAGAAATTTTGCGTAGGAATTGGGCAAGAATTGAGCAAACTGATTTCCAAAGAGTAAAACATACAAGAACTTGACTTGATCTGTGTAACATACAGCTTTAAACAAACCAGAAAAACCCCAAACAACAAAACCATGCATAGCAGTAAGGTCACACTACCTAAGAAATTCTTTGAGTAGTAATAAAGGTAGGTCCTGGCTATCAAAGTGTCTGGTGATAAACATAATTCTGACCTTTCTGCCTCCTGTCCAAGGTATTGACTTTGCAACACGCAAGATAGCAAAAATGCTGAAGCCTCAGAAAGTGATCAAACAAGATGGTGATTCATTTTCTATCCATACCACTAGCACATTCAGAGATTATTTGCTTGAATTCAAAGTTGGAGAAGAGTTTGAAGAAGACAACAAAGGCCTGGATAACAGAAAATGCAAGGTAAGACTGAATATATAAAATAAATGAATGAATAAATTAATCAAATCAAGTGGCTGTGACAAAATTCAGGTGTCATGATCAATCCAGCACTTGAGCTGAAACTGTTTCAAGGATACTATTTGTTATGCAACACAGAGGTAGGAGATGGAGTTACAGACAAGGAGATTCACTTCCCCTCAGGAGTAGCATTTAGGTCCCCTTTTATCCAGGAAAAAAAGGACATTGTCTCAGTTCTGCAATATACTCTTAGACTAAGATATACAGAACCACTTTGTTTGTTTTCTACAGAGCCTAGTTACCTGGGAAAATGACAAACTTGTCTGTGTCCAGACTGGTGAGAAGAAGAACAGGGGCTGGACTCACTGGCTTGAAGGAGATGACCTCCACCTGGTATTTAGTTCCCTACTAATTCTGTCTCTACATGACAAATAAGATCTATAATGTAGATTTACTATGTCACTTTCAGAAGCAGTTCCTTCCATTACTGTACACATCTATATAATATTCTTTTTTTTTTTGGCAGGAGCTTCGTTGTGAGAATCAAGTATGTAAACAGGTCTTCAAGAGAGCTTGAGGAAGTCCTGGTTCCTACGTGGAGAGACAGCTATACACAGGAGACTTGTGTCCATGCAGCCATCACTGGACAAGAGCTGATTCCTTGTACCTATTAACCTAAACAGTCTGATGTTTCTGGCTCAGGAAATAAGTCTGCTGTTGCCAGTGTTCAAGGTCTGATTTTTTGCTAATAAATGCCCAAAACCAAACCAATCTTATGTACCTGATTTCTGAATGTGTTTTTGGAGGGGGAGGGGAACCCAAAAACAAAACAGAAGTTATATGGCTTAGGTCTCTGAACAGTCCAAATCAAAACAAGAAAAACTGCCTATTCTAAAGGTGTATGCCAACATCAAACAAAACAGAGGGGAAAGGTGGTAGAGAAGGGAAGATAAAGGAAGCTGACAACAGATTTACTATTCAAAATGCTTCTCTTTAAGATGTAGACTAGAAGTTGTCTACTTGCTTATATCTTAAATGTGTAATAAGGTCTTATATTATGTCATAGCTACTTTGTTCTCAAAATAATGAAGTTCAGTTTACCAGAGGAAACCAGCATGTGATTTGAATTGCAGAACAATGAAGACACATCTGAGTAATCCATGTAGGTTCCAATCTACAAAATAATTGGACCAAGTTAATATTTATTTGTATGCATCTGTTCAGTTAGGTTAAATGTTCTTCTCTTTGGCCATGTGTAAAGTTGCATACAGAAGTAGGTTTTACTTTGCCTCATGTAAACACATTAACTGGTCAGATGAACTTGGTGGTTACATATGAAAGGAGATGCTGCAGGTGGATGGTAACACGAGCACTGCAGGAATCTTATCACTGGTGGTAAGAGTGGAAAGGTTTGATAAGCTTAGCAATTTCGTTTCTAGGAAAAAAGTTATTCTAAAGTAAAACCTGACATTTTAAAAGCTAAGTAGCACCACTTTTCTGATATTTTGTGTCAATTCTGAATTCCAGAAGATATGGCCAAAGGCAGACAAAATCTGTTGAAGTGTGGAGGGCTTTGTTAGACTGAAACACGCCCACCCAACCATATGATTACTAGAGCCTTTTGTAAATTTAAGCTAGTTTCCAAAATAGGAGGAAAAGATCTAGTATTCTTTATACACTTGTGGAAATTTGGGGGGACCAGCAGTAAAGTGCCCAGTGTTTATTCTATGGATTCTGACAGTGTTTTCTTTCTGGAACTGAGTAGTTCTCGATTATTTGAAAACAAAATCACTGTTAGCATGCTATTGTAATATAAATAACAAATCGGTGCAGCGGACCTGCTCTGTCACATCTCCCAGGAACAGACAGGAACAGCCACGCAGGCGCTGCGACTCCACTAGATGGCACCTCTGGAACGTGTCGCGTCTTTGAAGCGTGGCGGCTCCTTACAGCGGTACTTGAAGAGTTAAATATTGCAGATACTGCCAAACTCCACAGCTTTTGAGTTGTGCACTCCAGTAAGACGCTCCTGAGAAGCAATACAGAAAGGCAATGATGACCTTAAGAACTCTGTTAGTACAAAAAGAGGCTCCAAGCAGAAATCGGAAAAATGCAAACTTAGAAACCTGTATGAGTAAAAAAACTGCAATAATTCATTAGTAAGGCTGCTATTAGGAAGTGCTTACTTTAGAAATAGAGAGGAGTTATTAGCAGTGATATTGCTTTTCTTACTGCTACCTTCCTTCTTCAAACTGCTGATTTGAAAGCAGATAATGCTACACAGCATGTGCTTGAGGATACTTCGGAGATCTTGAGAGTGAGAGAAGCTACTAGAGTAACAAAACTGCTTATCCTAATTTCATTTCTATGCTAACAAATTCATATACTCCCACCAAATACAAATTAAACATCTTGAAATGCAAGATGAAAAAAGGGAGCAGTCACATCTTCTGGAAGTGGGCAAAAAAAGACATTAAGATAGACTTTGCCAGGAAGATATGCACTTGAGCTATGCAACTGAAGGGCAAGAACAAAACTCCCCAGAGAAGCACTTGAAGGGTTTTATTCAAAGGTGTTTCAGACCAAATAGTTTACATTATTGCTTTGATGGTTAAACGTTTTCATCAACCAGCCTCTGAGTTTTTTTTAGTGTAACTACTGACCATGTGTATTATAATTTTTAAATAAGCCAGATGCACGTGGAAGCACTTTATACACAGGTGAAGAGAAACTTGTTGCCTTATAGAGTCTGTAATCAAAACAGACAATGGAAAACCAAAGGAACAGCCAGGATTCAGTCTCTAAAATACTTTCTATAATGATATGAAAAAAAAAAGTTATACAAGTGACATATAAAAATGTAAGGTATCCTATCACTTAAGTGATTTGCTATTATTGTTTCTAAAAGCTGGCCTTTGTGACAGACTTATACAGACTACTTTTAAATAGAGCAATGTAACTATTTTCCCTGATGTCATCAGAACTACCTTTAAGGTTACTAATTTTTACTCAAAAGCTTTTAAGACATAATTTTTTGTGTAATCTCCTAATAATTTTCTCGCATACTGTTCTGTGCATTGACTAACACAGAATAAACCAGCAGTTTAGCCTAAGAACATACCAGCAAGTGAAACTGCATAGATGTCTGTGTTTAGGATTATAACACCAACTGCACTGGAAAAAAAAACCAAAAAAAAACCCCAAAAAACATAATCCTGAGAAGATAAAGAAACACAAAATGAAGCCTAATCTAAAAAATCAAAAGAAATAATACACAGATACTCCACAAAAAGATCGGCAATATATATATGCTATAATCCAATTATTTACAGAAGAATTTGTTTCCCATTCTGGGCACTTTGGTTAAGTCTTCAAAGACATTGCTTTTTGTTCAAGCACCTTTAAGTCAATACGGTACCTTGAGGAAGGTGTATACTGAAACATGACTAAATATCCTGACTCGTATATGCATTAAAAAAACATGCTCCGTTGTATTGCTTTATAATTATTTGAAGTGTTTATGGAAGTAGGTCTTAGTTCTAACCCTTGTTCATACAGAGCAGTGTGCTTCCATCTTAAGAACATCCTGTTGTCCCCCTTTGATGGAATTCTTTTACTCGCTGAGTCAAACTATGCTGCATCACACATAGCTGCCTGTGGAGATCTTGTTATTAGCGACTGTTCACCCTGGGGCAAAACTCTGCTGATGCAACTACCCTTTTTTGTGTTCTCTTCTAAAAGAGCAAATCCTTTTCTTTCTCACCTCCACGTGTTATAACCGATGAAAGCAGCAAAGTTGGAAGTGAACATCCAATTCACTGCAAGTCACCCTGGCTGGTCTGTGCTCTGCCAGTTTCATTTTGAAGGCGACGGAAAAGAAAGAAATCTCTTTCACAAAGCTTTCACAAAAACACCTTTTTGTGGTATCACGAAAGAACTAGGTGCAGAGAAGAGTTTTTACACATGTAAGGAAAAAAAAAATACTTCAGGTTCAAACTGCACTTAGGAGAAGCCCAAGCCTAGTACTTACTGGGGGCCTTGTGCCGTCGTTTGTTCTGTGTTATACAGGTTGTGATAACTAGATAAAAATAACTAGGTAAAAGACCTGTAGCGCCCGAACCTCTCGTCCCTGAGAGGTGGGCTAAGCCCTGGGAGGAGCGGAACGCGTACGGGCGCGTTCAAACGGGAGCCTCCAGCAGCCTAAGCCAGCTCGGCCCGTACCTGCGGGGCTGCTCCTGC